AGTGTATATCCCAGTGTACCTGTCCATGCCCCGCTCTCCCCAGTGTACCTGTCCATGCCCCACTCTCCCCAGTGTATATCCCAGTGTACCTGCACATGCCAAAGCCAGAGTTCGGAGCAATCATCAGGACCACAAGCGATTAAATAAGTGTCATCTGGACTCCAGACCAGATAGGAAACGCCGTACGTGTGACCTTCCAACGTCTTCAGTAACTTCAACTGATGTGTTTCCTGGAGGGATTGAGGGCGAGGGATCCAGAGGGACCAAAGGTCGGGAGCAGCATGATACAGGCAGAGAGACGGGAGGTGAGGCAGGGAGGGCGAGACAAAGAAGCGGGAGATAGAGAGAGACAGGCAGACAGACAAAGAGAGAGAGAGAGAGAGAGAGAGACAAAAGTGTCAGAGAATCAGAGACAAAGTGGGGGAGGGGAAGAGAAGAGACACGGGGCGGGGGGGGGGGAGAAGAGAGAGAAAGCGAGAGAGAAGAACAAAAGATGGGAGAGAGACAAAAGGAGAAAACACGAGTGAGACAGAAGAACTGAATGAGAGTTATGGACCAAGCCACATGTTGCTTAGCAACTTTATCAACTCCAGAGAGAGAGAGAGAGAGGCAGGCTTAGGGGAAGTGAGAAAATGGTCAAGTACAACTCCCATAACTCCATCATCACTTCTGCCTGGGTCACTGGGCAGCACAATACTTTAACAACGCATTTACAAGTTTGGGACAGGACAGTCGCTCTCGCAAGGTGGCAGGGGTGGGGCTGCTCTCAACTGGACCTCAGGGTCATGCATTTCAGAGGAACACCCATTGCCACCGGTCAATCAGCAAAGGAGGTCCTAGACGACAAAGTTACTTGCACAATTTTAGAAACGTAGGCGGTTCATAAAGGACAGAAGAAACACAGCTAGAAAACAGAATATGCGAGGGAACCGCCAGGTTACCTACAGAGTAAAGCTTTCTCTACGCTTTTAAACTGGAAGTAAATATCCCTCAACACTGTTTCCATCAAACACTCCCAGGACAGCAACAGCACTAGGTTAGATACAGCGTAAAGCTCCCTCTACACCATCTCCATCAAACAATTCCCAGGACAGGGTTAGATAGAAGAGTAAAGCTGCCCCTACACTGTTCCCATCAAACACTCCCAGGACAGGGACAGCACGGGGTTACATACAAAGTAAAGGTCACAGGCCTGTGACAGTGCAGAAGATATCAGATGTTAAAATGAGTGGTCTGTAGCGGCTCACTGGGGATTCACAGACACCCTGCTGAGAGAAGCAACATGGTGGAGCCATTAGCTCGATGTTGCGAAGTACAGTTGAGACCTAACGAAGCTAATGTGTAAAGGGGATGGGGGTTGAACACAGCCTTTTCAGTTTTCACATTGAGCAGAAAGGAGTCAGGGTGGGGGTCACTCACAGGGTCGACCTGCCAAATGATGACTGCGTTGTCTTTTGATCCCGTCGCCAGCTTGGTGCTGTCGTTGGAGAATTTGCAGAACCACACTTCGTTGCAGTGCTCAGTGAGGATCTGGCGAGTGTAACAGGGAAACTGCCTTCTGTAGAGCCAGAATACAACAACAGACACACGCCATTAAAGACAGATTTCATTCCCACCTCCCGGCCCAGATGTACCCCTGGGGACACTTGTGCTCTGTGCCACACACTCTCTCAAAGCACCTGAAATTTCCATTTGCTGGGGCAAAACTGTCAATGTCCAGCCGCTAATAATCGAGGTGAACAAGGGTCATTATGACAAGCGAGGGGAGAACCAGGGAGAAGTGAGTCAACACTGACCCATGCAGTAGACTGGACAAAATCGTACCCTCACACCCACCTCCAGTGTTCTTTAGTCTGCTGCTAATTCTCACAGCAATCTTTCCAATGGGAACTCCCCTTGTAACCAAATTGCATTGTAACTACACAGGCCTGCTATTGCCCTCTGTTTCAAAACAAAGGGACTTCACACTCTAAAGCCTCAGATTGGCAAAAGGGCCATTCCCCCCCATTCTGAGTGTGATGGCACTCGGAGTGAGCGATTCATCTGTTTGTTAGGCCTGACTGTTCTTCCTTTACAGATAACGATCTAATTCCCTTGTGAAAACCTCAACTGAACCTGTCACCCACCCCTCCAACACTCTCAGGCACCACATTGCAAACCTCAACCATTCTCCGTGTGCGCCATTGCTCCTTTGACTAATTATTTTAAATCTGCAGCCTCTCCATTGTGATTCCCCCACTCTCTACTCTACCAAGTTCCCTCCTTATCTTGGATACCTCGCTCAAATCTTTTCTCTAACGAAACCAGCCCCCAACTTTTCCACCTATCTTCATCACCGGATCATTCTTGAAATTTTTTTTCTGCATCCTCTCCAGAACTTTCACATCCTTCATAAAGGTGCAAGACCCAGAACTGGAAACAATGCTCCAGCTGGGGCTAAATTGCTGTTTTACACAAATTTAACAAAAGCACATTGTCCTTGTGCTCTATGGACCTGTTAATAGAGTTAAGCACATTGTGTGCTTTGTTAAGTGTTCTCAATGTGTTCTGCTGCCTTTAATGAACAGTGCACACATACACCCAGGTCCCTCTGCTTCTGCAACCTCTTTAGAATTGAACCATTTATACTACATTGTCTCTCCACATTCTTTCTACTGTCACCTCAAATTTCTCTCCAAAAGAGCTTCACCTGACTCTTGCCTGCCCATTCCACCAACTTTTCCATGTCATTTCAAGCCTGCTCCACCAGGCAGTGAGGCCTGATAGCGGCCTCAGCTCTACTTTCTTACTGACTCTGGTCACCCTGTTATAGGCAGGATATTCTTAAACTGGAGAGGGCTCAGAAGAACATTTACCAGGATGTTGCCCGGAATGGAGGGTTTGAGTTATAAAGAGAAGCTGGCTAGGCTGGGACTTTCTTACCCTGGAATATAGGAGATTGAAAGGTGACCTTACATAGAGGTAAGGCAAGTGTCGTTTCCCCAGGGTGGGGGACTTCAGGACAAGGGAGCATATCTTTAAGGTAGAGGATAAAGGTTTAAAAAAAAACAGACATGAGAGGTTCTTTTTTAAATACAGAGAGTGTTCAATGTATGGAGTGACATTCCAGGGGAAGTGGGGGATAAGGGTACAGTTACAATGTTTAAAAGACATTTGGATAAGTACATGTACAAGAAATGTTGAGGGATATGGGCCTAGTGCTGGCAGGTGGGACTAGTTCAGTTTGGGATTACGGCCGGCAGAGACTGCTTGGACCAAAGGGCATATTTCCTGTGCTGTACGACTCTATGACTCCCTCTTTTGTCAAGAATCTACCTACCACTGCCTTGAAAGTATTCAACGACGGGCTTCTACTGCCCTCTTCGGGAGGAGAACTCCAAAGGCTCACAGCCATCAAAAGAAAAAAACATTCCATCTTACTTCCATCATTAATGGACGACCCCTTATTTTCAAACTGTATCTCCTGGGTCTAGTCTCCCCCATGAGAAGCAAGCACCCTCTCAGCATCTACCCTTGTCATACCCCCTCAGGATCAGATCACAGTTGGACACGGTTAGGTGCCTCAACACTGCTGCAAGAGAATATACTCCTCAGCCCTGCTGAGTCACATCCTGGGTTAACCCCCTCTCGATAATGCTTTAGAGTGGGAAAAGTAGGCCCCAGTACCGAATCGTAGGGAGCCCCCCAACATACTCTCCTTGAGTGTGAAAAATATCCACTAACTGCTGCTCTGTTTCCAGTCACTCGGCCAATTCGGTGTCCGGGGCTTCGGGAACAGTGCAGCCGGTGTCCTGCGGTAACAGCCGGGGAATCAGTAGATTGGATACTCCCGGAAAGGATTGTCATCCAGGGTGCGATTTTAAACATTAAGGGCAGCCAAAGGCCTGGAGTGGAGCAGGGACAGCCAGTAGCCTGGAGCAAACCAGGGACAGCCGCCAACAGGCCCAGGACAAAGGTGGCTACTGGCTGGGTATTGGGGGAGCCCAGTCAGACTAGGTGGAGAAAGACTTTATTTCTCATTGTCATAATATATACTATGCATATCTGTAATGCAGTGGAACTTTTTTTCTTTATTTTCTGTACCTAAGACTTGTACCTAGGTACATTGTACCTAAGATGGTGCCGCATGTTAGCGGCATTGTACACTTTTCAGTGTACTCCTGTTCTTGACTTGAGTACATGAAACAATAAACCTAATTCTATCTCTCTTCACCTATCTCTCTCAGAATCAGTCTCCGTGGATAACTGGAGAGATTAACACCTTGTCTTTGGAATAAGAATCAGGATCAATAGATCACAGCACTGGAGACGTCTCCCCACAGAGTCTCCCATCAGAGACGTGCTTAGACTTTCAATTAAAACCATCTTCCCTCCCTCATCTGCTTCTCAAGTCAACTGAACCACGTTGCGGTTCCCTCGTGTGGACAGGGTTGGGCTAACACTCCTGAGGGATTGCCTATGTGCCGAGCTTCATTTCTGAGAGGTGGGCAGAATGCTGCCTGTTCCTGTTACCTGCTGCAGGCGTGGTCCATGAGCAGTGAGACGGAGTCCAGGTTGGTATCAGCCTTGGTGTTGTGGTAGAGGCACCGGTCCCTCTGTAACTCCACCGCTTGTCTGAGCAGGGTCTGCAGGCGCCGGGGAGGCAGCATCACCGACGGCGGCAGGTACGCTTCAGGGAGAAAGACAGCATTGTTTTGTCAGATTGCTTATTTGCAGTTCATAACACTCACTCGGTCTCTCTCTCTCTGCCCCTGCTCATAACCTCTATCCCAACCTGTCACCCGCAAAATCCTCCTCTCTCTGGCTGTGACCACCCATCCCCATCATGTTTTACCAGCGACCAAACAGTGATGGATTAAAGGTGACATGATGTAGGAGCGGAGGCAGACCATTCAGCCCATCAAATCTGCTCCTCCATTCAATGAGATTGTGACTGATCTGATCATTCACATTCCTGTCTTTTCCCCATAATCTTTTGCTGATTAGAAATCCATCTATTGCAGCCTCTAATCTACTTAATGACCCAACCTCAACATCCCTCTGTGGTAAAGAATTCCACACATTCACTACCCTCAGAGAAGAAATTCCTCCTCATCTGTCTCAAAAGGGAGACTTCTTTTTTCTGAAATTATGTTTCCTGTCCCTAGACTCCCCCCACAGGGGGAAACGATCTCTTCAGATAGAGTCATAGAGCTGTACAGCATGGAAACAGACTTTTCGGTCCAACTTGTCCATGTTGACCAGATGTCCTACATTAATCTAATCCCATTTGCCAGCATTTGGTCCCTATCCCTTTAAATCCTTCCTATTCATATACCATTCCAGATGCTTTTTAAATGTCGTAATTGTACCAGCCTCCATCAATTCCTCTGGCAGCTCATTCCATACAGGCACCACCCTGTGTGTGGAAAAGTTACCCCTCAGGTCTTTTTAAATCTTTCCCCTCTCACCTTAAACCTATGTCCCTCTAGTTTTAGACTCCTCTACCCCAAGTAAAAGACCTTGGCTATTCACCCTATCCATGCCCCTCACGATTTTATAAAGCTCGAGAAGGTCACCCCTCGGCCTCCGACGCTCCAGGGAAAATAACCCCGGCCTATTCAGCCTCTCCCTGTAGCTCAAACCCTTCAACCCTGGCAGTATCCTTGTAAATCTTTTCTGAACCCTTTCAAGTTTCACAACATCCTTCCTATACCAAGGAGACCAGAATTGAATGCAGTAAATGGCCTAACCAATGTCCTATACAGCGCAACACGACCTCCCAACTCCTATACTCAACGCATTGACCAATAAAGGCAAGTGTACCAAATGTGTTCTTCACTACCCTGTCTACCTGTGACTCCACTTTCAAGGAACTACGAACCTGCACTCCAACGTCCCTTTGTTCGGCAACACTCCCCAGGACCTTACCATTAACTGTATAAGACCTGACCTGATTTGCCTTTCCAAAATGCAGCACCTTACATTTTTCTAAATTAAACTCCATCTGCCACTCCTCGGCCCATCAACCCATCTGATCAAGGTCCTATTGTACTCTGAGGTAACCTTCTTCGCTCTCCACTACACCTCCAATTTTGGTGCCGTCTGTAGACTTATTTACCATACCTCCTATATTCACATCCAAATCATTTAGATAAATGACAAAAGGCAGTGGACCCAGCACTGATCCTTGTGGCACACCACTGGTCACAGGCCTCCAGTCTGAAAAGCAACCCTCGACCACCACCCTCTGTCTCACACCTTTGAGCCAGTTCTGTACCCAAATGGCTAGTTCTCCTTGTATTCCATGTGATCTAACCTTGCTAACCAGTCTACCATGTAGAACCTTGTCAAACAGTGGGAGCGGTGTGTCCTTGTGCACCAGACGCTGAAAGTAAGCATGCAGGTGCAGCAGGCAGTAAAGAAGGTAAATGGATGTTGGCCTTCATTGCAAGAGGCTTTGAATACAGGAGCAGGGATGTATTGTTGCAGTTATACGGGGCCTTGGTGAGACCACACCTGGAATATTGCGTGCAGTTTGGACTCCTTTTCTAAGGAAGGATGCTCTTGCTCTCGAGGGAGTGCAGTGAAGGTTTACCAGGCTGATTCCAAGGATGGCAGGTCTGACATATGAGGAGAAATTGACAACGTTGGGATTGTTTTAGCTAGAGTTCAGACAAATGAGGGGGGATCTCACAGAGACTTATAAAATTCTAACAGGACTGAACAGGGTAGATGCAGGGAGGATGTTCCCAATGGTGGATGTGTCCAGAACCAGGGGTCACAGTACGAGGATTTGGGGTAAACGATTTAGGACAGAGACGAGGAAGACATTTCTTCACCCAAACAGTGGTGAGCCTGTAGAATTCATTACCACAGGAAGCAGTTGATGCCAAATCATTGAATGTATACAAAAGGCGACTAGAGGCAAATGGGATCAAAGGTTATGGGGAGAAAGCAGGATTAGGCTATTGATTGGGACGATCAGCCATGATCATGAAGAATGATGGAGCAGGCTGAAGGGCCGAATGGCCTCCTCCTGCTCCTATCTTCTATTTTTCTATGTACACCTTACTGAAGTCCACATAGATCACGTCCATCACTCTGCCCTCGTCAATCCTCTTCATTCCTTCTTCAAAAAACTCAATCAAGTTAGTGAGACACAATTTCCCCCACACAAAGCCATATTGACTATCCCTGATCAGTCCTTGCCTTTCCAAGTACATGTAAATCCTGTCCCTCAGGATTCCCCCCAACAACATGCCCACCACTGATGTCAGAGTCACTGGTCTATAGTTTCCAGACTTTTCCTTACCACCTTTCTTAAAAGTGGCACCACGTTAGCCAACCTCCAGTCTTCCAGCATCTCACCTGTGGCTACTGATGATACAAATGTCTCGGCAAGGGGCCCAGCAATCTCTTGCCTAGCTTCCCTCAGAATTCTAGGGTACACTTGATCAGGTCCTGGGGATTTATCCACCTTTATACATCTTAAGATGTCCAACACTTTCTCCCCTGTAATCTGGACATTTTTCACAAAGTTGCTATTTATTTCCCCAGGTTCTCAATCTTCCATATCCTTCGCCACAGTAAACACTGATGCAAAATACTGCGGTTCCACACATAGGTGGCCTTTCTGATCTTCAAGGGGCCCTGCTCCCTCCCTAGTTACCCTTTTGTCCTTAATGTATTTGCTGAATCCTTTTGGATTCCCCCTGACCACCTTATTTGCCAAAGCTATCTCATGTACCCTGTTAGCCCTCCTGATTTCCCCCTTAAGTATGCTCCTACTGCCTTTATACTCTTCTAGGGATTCACTCGATCCCTGCTGTCTATACCTGACATATGTTTCCTTCTATTTCTTGACCAAAACCTCAATCTCTCTAGTCATCCAGCATTCCTTACACCTACCAGCCTTGCCCTTTGCACTAACAGGAATATACTGTCTCTGGACTCTCATTATCTCATTTTTGAAGGCTTCCCATTTTCCAGCTGTCCCTTTTTCCACACCCAATCAACTTTTGAAAGTTCTTGCCTAACACTGTCAAAATTGGCCTTCCTCCAATTTAAAACTTTAAACTTTAAATCCCATCTATCCTTTTCCATCACTATTTTAAGACTAATAGAATTATGGTCACTGGCCCCAAAGTGCTCCCCCACTGATACCCCAGACTCCTACCCTGCCTTATTTCCCAAGAGTAGGTCAAGTTTTCCTCCTCCTCTAGTAGGTACATTCACATACTCAATCAGAAAACTTTCTTGTACACACTTAAATTTCTTTCCATCCAAGCTTTTAACACAATGGCAGTCCCAGTCTATGTTTAGAAACTTAAAATCTCCCACTATTACAACCCTATTATTCTCACAGATATCCGATATCTCGTTACAAATTTGCTTCTCAATTTTCCACTGACTATTGGGAGGTCTATAGTACAATCCCAATAAGGGGATGATCACCTTATTTCTCAATTCCACCTAAATAACTTCAATGGATGTATTCCCACGAATAGTCTCCCTAAGTACAGCCGTAATGTTATCCCTAACCAAAAACACCACTCCCCCTCCATTCTTGCCCCCTTTTCTATCCCTCCTACAGCATTTATACCCTGGAAAATTTAGCTGCCAGTTCTGTCCATCCCTGAGCCATGTAATTGCTATAACATCCCAGTCCTATGTGCCCAACCATGCCGAGTCCATCTGCTTTACCTGTCAGGCCTCTTGCACTGAAGTAAATGCAGTTTAATTCATCAGTCCTACCTCGTTCTCTGCATTGTTCCTGCCTGCCCTGATTGTTTGACTTGCTCCTTCTCCCAACTGCACCAGTCCTAGATTGATGATCTCCTTCCTCACTATCTGCCTGGATCCCACCACACCCCCACTCCCTTTTTATTTAAAACTTGCTTAAATCCTCCTGAGCAGCTCTGGTAAATCTCCCCACCAGTATATTATTCCCCTTCCAATTCAGGTGCAATCCATCCTTCTTATACAGGTCATTTCTATCCCCAGGAGAGATTTCAATGATCCAAAAATGTGAATCCTTCCCCTCTGCACCAGCTCCTCAGCCACACATTCATCTGCTCTATCCTCTTATTCCTATTCATCAGCTTACAGCACTGGAAGTAATCCAGATATGACGACCCTCAAGGACCTACTTTTTAAATTTCTGCCTAATTTCCTAGTTTCTCTCGTCAGAACTTTGTCTTTTTCTTTTCCAATGTCATTAGTTCCAATGTGTACAATGTCCTCCTGCTGGTCCCTCTCCCCTTTGAGAAAATTCTGCACTCTGTCCGAGCTATCCCTGATCCTGGCACCAGGGACGTAACACACCATTCTGATATCTGTGTCGGCCGCAGAAATGTCTGTCTGTGCCTCTGACTAGAGAGTCCCCTATCACGTTCGATTGCTTAGAACCTGACGTACCCCTCATTATATTAGAGCCAGTCTCGGTACCAGTAGCCTGGCTGTCAGTGCGACATTCCCGAGAGTCCTTCATCCCCTACATTTTCCAAGTCAGCATACTTGTTTGAGATGGGGATAGATTCCTGCACTACCCGCCTACCTCTCCTACCTTTCCTGGAGATAACCCTTTTACCTGACTGTATCTGAGGTTTTTCTACCTTCCTGAAACTGCCATCCATCATACCCCGACTCCTGAAAACTCCTCATTGCCACTCGAACCGATGCATATGATCTGATGGAATTTGCAACCGAGCATACTTTCTGCAGATAATCATCACAGACACTGACATTCTCCCTAATCTCCCACATCTGACAGGAAGAGCAATTCACTCTGCCAACAAGCCATCTTTGCACCCTAACAATCTACAGACCCAGGAAATAGCACAGTCTTACTGCTCTAAAAAACACTGCTCTAGGATAACTTAGTACCTATGTTTTACTTCTTAATGTTTAACCAAGAGACAGATCTCAACAAAACATATAATCAAAAAAAAAACTCCACTCTACTCACTACTGTACAGATTTACAAAAAAAATGTAAGGTTACACTTTGAAAAAGCCACTTCGCTGCTCCCCTGCTGTGAGGTCCCCACACAGGCTTCCCCAAAGGTCAGCTGTGAATTTCACTGTTTATTTATTTTTCTTAGAATGAACTCCTATGTCCTGAGATACTTGAAACTAACAGCAGAGGCAGTCAGCTGCGCAGGTTCACTGATCCTTCTGTTAACACCTGCACCACTCTCTCTCTTTTCCTCCTCTTTTTAAGTGCTGTTGTTTTGATCTTTTTTTTTCCGAAGTTCTAAAACAATGCAATAGCTTATAAAACAGTAATTGCTGCTCCAAAAATTCCAGAAATCAGCTCCAACACTGAAAATACCACGCAAAAAAAGGAGCAGCTCTTACAGACACAATTTATCTACCCTGTCAAGTTCCGTGAGAATCTTGTATGTTTCAATAAGGTTGCCTCTCATTCTTCTAAACTCTAACAACTATAGGCCCAACCTATTTAACATCTCATTAGACAGTCCCTCCATACCTGATATCACTAGTGTACAAAATTCCAATACAAGTACAACTTTCCTTAGATAAAGGGACCAAAACTGTCCACAGTACTCCTGTCCAGCGCCTTGTAGTTTTAGTAAAATCTCCCTAATTTTATACTCCATTTCCCTTGGAAATAAAGGCCAACATTAAATTTACTTCCCTATTAGCCGGTGAACTTGGATGCTAACTTCTTGTGATTTACTCATGAGGACCCCCCAATCCCTTACCAGACAACAGAACACACACCCAGGACAGACACAGCACAGGGTTAGATATAGAATAAAGCTTCCTCTACGTTGTCACCATCAATCAATCCTTTTGTGCTGCAGCTTCCTGTAGTGTTGCTCCATAAAGCACAGTTCTGCAGTGGACAAATCATTTTCCACTCCACCATCCTCGGCTGACCATCCAAAGGGTGCACAACAAAACCCAAATGAAAATTGCTGGGGGAAAGACCCGAAGAAGAGTCGCTGGATCTGAAATGTTAACTTTGCTTTCTTTCCAGAGATGCTGCCAGACATGCTGAGATTTTCCAGCGGTTTCTGTTTTTGATTTCTAACATCCGTGGTTCTGTTTATTTTTGTTTGGTGCACAATGACCGTTTTATTGGAGTGAGTGGGCGGGGGTGGGGACAGACAGAGAGAGGCACAGACAGCCAGACAGACAGAGGCAGAGAGAGAGGCAAGGACACAGACAGAGACACAGACAGAGAGAGAGAGAGAGAGACAGACACAGACAGACAGAGAGAGAGACACACACAGACAGACAGAGAGACACATTTGCATGGTAAGGACAGGAGCACTAGAAAGGGAGGGAAGAGTTGTGAGGGAAGGGGGACCAAAGAGAGGGAGGATTAGGATTAGACATGGGGGTGATGCCTGCCATGCTGCTTCGCTGGGTGGAGGCCAAGAAACCTGGAAACTTCACTAGCAGGAGACAGAGCCTTCCGGGCAAGAACACAAACCAAAGACATTGTGCAATGCGCACATTCATTTGACTGCCTGCCAGAAAACAGAACACACACCTAGCAGCACACCGACAGATGTAAAATGAAGCTCCCTCTAATCTGTTAAAATTAAAAGCAAAGCTCTCTGCACTTTTAAACCAAAAGTAAAACTCTCTCTACAGTGCCCCTTCAAACACTCCCAGGATGGGACAGCACAAATCACATGCAAGTAAAGCTTTTGCTACACTGTCTCCATAAAACGTCCCCAGAACAAGGGACCGCAGGGGGTTAGATATACAGCAAGACTTTCTCTACTCTTTTAAATGAAAAATATTTGAGACTGACACCATCAAATACCCTCGTGACAGATATAGCACTGGATTAGACATACAGTAAAGCTCTATCTACTCTATTAGACTGAAAGTAAATGTCCCTTGACACTGTTTCCATCAAACAGCCCCAGTACGTGGTTAGATACAGAGTAAAGATCCCTCTACAGTGTCCCTACCAAACTCCCAGGACAGGGACAACACAGGGTTAGATACAGTGTATAGTACCATTTACACTTTGAAAGTAAACGTCCCTCTACTCTTCTGAACTGAAGGTAAAACTCCTTCAACTTTGTCCCCAAGCACTCCCAGGACAGGTACAGCACAAAAGTAAATCTGTGCCTCAGTCTTGACTTGCAAATGTCATCACACTTAGCAACAAATACATTACTGCATTCCCACGCCAGTCTGAGTGTGACTAACACTCGGTGTGTCTTTCAGCTCCTTTCTGTGGCCACTGAGCACTGGGAGAGCAGGCAGGAGGAGCAGGGATGACGATTCAGTAAAGCAACCTTGCAGGACTCACTGTGAAGTTTATCGAGGAGCTTGGTACGCGACAAGCTGCCCTTTCCCTCCCATTCCGCCTTCGCTCGAAGATCTTCTGCATCACTACACATCAGGTATCTGATCAGGAAGACAAAAAAAATACGGGGAGATTATTTGAAGTGGCTCACAAATATATAAAAGTCCCTTGCACAAACCTCACTTCCGGCTTAGTGTGCTTACCTGATAATCTTCTATCGCAAGTTGCATTTCCATTCAATTTTACTATGTAAACCGTCACGGTGGACTGGCAGGCGATGGCCTCTAGGTGGGGTTGAAATTCTGAAACCTCTCTCCCACACCTGTAACCACCTTGTGTATGGCCTATCTTCATGAATTTACCATGGATGATGCCACAGGGAGTTTTATGGGGCTCAAAGGGTCAAACATTTAAGAGGAAGGTGTCCGTCAGTTTATTTGTGCACTTCCATCTACAAACTCTTTGACCTTGGGGTACCCCGAGGATGCTCCAGAAGCATCCAGAGATCTGCTAGACGTCCCATGCCCGGCCACAACAGAAGAGTCAAGAAAGACTTGCATTTCTTACAGCAAAGTTTTCACTTCCAGGATGACCCAAAATGTTTTCTCCAGGGCTAATGAAGTACTGCTGCTAGGTAACCTCCAAAAGCAGGCCGAGTAGCACTCCCTTAGTACTACTCTGAGGGTGTCAGCCTGCATCAACGGTTCAAGTTTTTGATGCTTTCAATCGACATGCTTCATCGCCTGACTTGTCCATCTCACTTCCTAACCCCAACCCTCATATGCCTTTATTTTCTCCGGACTGAATAGTCCCGCTTTGTCTCCCACATTCTATTCCCGTATAGACTCAATGTAATTTGAAACTCCACTGTCCGTAGTCTGAGCTGGTATCAAGTCCTTGTTTTCACGGTCTCTCCCTCTCCTGGTTCTCACGCCTTGCAATTCCCTCCCAAGATCTCTCCTCCTGGAGTCATACAGCACAGTAACACACCCTTCAGTTCAACTCATCTGCGGTGACCAGGCAGCCCAATCTGACCTAGTCTCTTTTGGCAGCATTTGCCCCATATCTCTCTTAAACCCTTCCTATTCATGTACCATCCAGATACCTTTCAAATGTTGTAACTGTACCAGCCTTCACCACTTCCTCTGGCAGCTCATTCCATACACGCAGCACCCTCTGCGTCAAAAAGTTAGGTCCGTTTTAGATCTTTTCTCCAATCTCACCTTAAACCCTATGTCCTCTAGTTTTGGATTCCTCCATCCTAGGAAAAAGATGCTGGCTATTCACCCTATCAATGCCCCTCATGATTTTATAAAGCTCTATAACTCTCAGCTTCCGACGCTCCAGGAAAAATAGCCCCAGCCTATTCAGCCTTTCCCTGTAGCTCAATCCTTCCAATCCTGGCAACATCCTTGTACATCTATTCTGCACCCTTGAGTTTCACAACATCCTTCCTAAAGCAGGGAGACCAGAATCGAATGCAGTATTCCAAACGTGGCTTCACCAATGTCCTGTAGAGCCACAACATAGCGTCCCAACTCCTATACTCAATGCACTGACCAATGAAGCTCTGGCTTTCTTCCTGTAAACTGACCTCTTTGACTGAGCTCTTGGCTGCTTGTCTGAATTTTTCCTTATGTAGCCATACAAGCGCATGTTGCTGTAGGGGTCTCCTTTCCTTCTTTTCCTGACGTCCAGCAAAAGGAACAGAGTTTAGGGCAAGATTTTCAAGTAACATTTCAGCTGTGGTTGTTGACTTTCGCTTGAGTAGGAATACAAGAAGAGGAGCTACTTCAGCCCTTCCAATCTATTTTGCTACTCAGTTAGATCATGGCTGCTGGGTACCTTAACCCCGTGCATTCTGCTTGGCTCCCTTAATAACTAAGGCACTATACACCAAGGCCTTACTTGAACTACAGCAGGGGCTGGCAGCAGCTGCAGGTGTTCTCGGGACTGGGGACATCACCACCGTTTATTGCATATTCCTTTGAAGGAGGCAGTGGGGAGCTTCCTTCCTAAACCACTGCAGTCCACGTGCTATAGTTTTTTAAAAAATTTTGTTGCTGGCTGGGCCCAGTACTTATTGCCCGTCCCTAGTTGCCCCCTTGAGAAAGTGGGGGTGAGCTGCCTTCTTGAACTGCTGTAGTTCTCCTGCTATGGGTAGACCCACGATGCCCTTAGGGAGGGAATTCCAGGATTCTGACCCAGTGACACTGAAGGAACGGCCGATATATTTCCAAGTCAGGATGGGGAGTGGTTCGGAGGGTTTCTTGCAGGGGGTGGTGTTCCTATGTATCTGCTGCCCTTGTCCTTCTAGATGGAAGTGGTCGTGGGTTTGGAAGGTGCTGTCTGAGGATCTTTGGTGAATTTCTGCAGTGCATCTTGTAGATAGTACACACTGCTGCTACTGAGCGTCGATGGTGGAGGGAGTGAATGCTTGTGGATGTGATGCCAATAAAGCAGGCTGCTTTGTCCTGGATGGTATCGAGCTTCTTGAGTGTTATTGGGACTGCACTCATCCAGGCAAGTGGGGAGTATTCCATCACACTCCTGACTTGTGCCTTGTAGATGGTGGGACAGGCTTTGGGAAGTCAGGTGGTGAGTTCCTCACTGCAGTATTCCCAGCTTCTGGCCTGCTCTTGTAGCCACTGTGTTTAATGTGGTGAGTCCAATTGAGTTTCTGGTCAACAATAACCCCCAGGATGTTGGTAGTGGGGGATTCAGTGATGGTAACACTGTTGAATGCCAAGGAGCGGTGGTCAGATTGTCTCTTATTCCTGACAGTCATAGCCTGGCATTTGTGTGTCACGAATGTTACATGCTATTTGTCATCCCAACCCTGGATATTATCCAGATCTTACTGCATTTGAACATGGGCTACTTCAGTATCTGAGGAGTCGCAAATGGTACTGAACATTGCACAATCATCAGCTAACATCCCCCCTTCTGACCTTATGATGGAGGGAAGTCATTGATGAAGCAGCTGAAGATGGTTGGGCCAAGGACACGACCCTGAGGAACTCCTGCAGAGATGTCCTGGAGCTGAGAAAACTGACCTCCAACAACCACAACCATCCTCCATAGCACTGTTGATGACACCTTCCATCACTTTACTGATGATTGAGTAGATTGATGGGGCGATAATTGGCCAGATTGGATTTGTTCTGCTTTTATGTACAGGACACACTTGGGTAATTTTCCACATTGTCAGGTAGATGCCAGTCCTGTAACTGTACCGGAACAGCTTGGCTAGGGGAGCGGTAAGCTCTGGAGCACAAGTCTTCAGCACTATTGCCGGAATGTTGTCAGGGCCGGTAGCCTTTGCAGTATCCCGTATCTCTAACCATTTCTTGATATCACGTGGAGTGAACTGAATTGGGTAAAGACTGGTATCTGTAATGTTGGGGATCACCGGAGGAAGCCGAGATGGATCATCCATTCGGCGCTTCTGGCTGAAGATTGCTGCGAATGCTTCAGCCTTATCTTTTGCAATGATGTGCTGGGCTCTTCCATCATTGAGGATGGGGATATTTGTGGAGCCTCCTCCTCCAGTGAGTTGTTTAATTGTCCACCACCATTCACAACTGGATGTGGCAGGACTGCAGAGCTTAGATCTGATCCTTTGGTTGTGGAATCACATAGCTCTGTCTATCACTTGCTGCTTTCGGTGTTTGGTGTGCAAGTAGTCCTGTTTGGTGGCTTCACCAGGTTGACACCTCATCTTCAGGTATGCCTGGTGCTGTTCCTGGCATGCCCTCCTGCATTCTCCATTGAACCAGGGTTGATCCCCTGGGTTGATGGTAATGGTTGAGTGGGGGATATGCCGGGCCATGAGGTTACAGATTGTGCTGGAGTACAATCCTGCTGCTGTTGATGGCACACAGCGCCTCATGGATGCCCTTGTAAGTTGCTAGATTGTGTGAAGTCTGTCCCATTTAGCACGGTGATAGTGCCACACAACATGATGGAGGTTATTCTCAATGTGAAGGTGGGACTTTGTCTCCACAAGGACTGTGCGATGGTCACTCTTACCGATACTGTCATGGACAGATGTACCTGCAGCTGGCAGATTGGTGATGGTGAGGTCAAGTACGTTTTTCCCTCTTGTTGATTCCCTCACCTCTGGACCAGACCCAGTCTAGCAGCTATGTCCTTTAGGACCCGGCCAGCTTGATCCGTAAATCTGCTGCCGAGCCACTCTTGGTGGTGGACATTGAAATCCCCCAACCAGAGTACATTCTATGCCCTTACCATCCTCAGTGCTTCCTCCAAGTGTTGTTCAACATTGAGGAGTATCGATTCATCAGCTGAGGGAGGACGGTACACGGTAATCAGCAGGAGGTTTCCCGCTTAGCTTTATACCACTGTGCTGCCACCTCTGCCAGGTCTGTCCTGCCGGTGGGACAGGACACATCCAGGGATGGTGATGTATGGGACATTGTCTATATGGTATGATCCTGAGAGTATGACAACATCAGGCTTTTTTGACTAGTCTACGAGACAGCTCTCCCAATTTTGGCACTAGCCCTCAGATGTTCGTATGGAGGATCCTACAGGGTCAGCAGGGCTGTTTTTCTGACGTTGTCTTTTCTGGTGCCTAGTTCAATGCCAGGGGATGCATTCAGATTCATTTCTTTGAGATTTTGTAGCAATTGATACAATTGAATGGCTTGCTGGGCCATTTCAGAGGGCAACTGATCCACAAATGCTGACCCACAGTGCCCTTTAGGGAGGGAAGTTCAGGATTTTAAACCAGCAATACTGAGGGAACGGCGATACATTTCCAAATCAGGATGGTGAGCAGCTCGGAGTGGAACTGCAGGGGGTCATGTTCCCATGTATCTGCTGCCCTTGTCTGTTTGGATTGAAGGTTTGGACGGTGTTGTCAGAGGAGTCTTGGTATATTTCTGCAGTGCGTCTTGTATTGCTACTGAATTTCAGTGGCGGAGGGACTGTACATTGAAGGGGTGGATGTAATGTCAGTCTAGGAGGGCATCCTGTTTTGTGCACGCTGGGATGCAAGTTTTTGTTTTCTATTTCCTCAAATGTGCTGGAATTGTATATTTGAGAGGTTTCATGGCTCCCTAAGGGATAGTGAATT